GGGAGGGGAAAGTCTAGAAATTCTGCACCAATGGCACTCCTCACTGTACGTGCTGGCAGAGCTCCTGCGGGGACTGTTACGAGCGCTCCTCGGTCTGCATCTCGCAGCAAATTATCCTGACCCTAAAAATGCTTCTCTTGCTTTTACAACAGCCTGTGCACAGCGGTCCGTCTCCTCTAGGAGAGTTTTATCATCCTTGCAGAGGGAAACTGAGGCAGCTCAGAGGATCAAGCAAGTGGAGTGGTTTCGGGCAGGGGGCTTTGAGACTGGAGGGCACCTAATTTTAACACCAGCGGGACTTGGAGCACACTGAAACAGGAGTGGAGCATCTCTGAAAGCGGTGCTGGGTGGCTCCGTGTGCAGGGTGGGAATATATCCAGCACAAAGCCCTCCCTGGGAGGGAAAACTCGTCATCCATGTGGCTCTGGGACTCTTGTTGGGCAGCAGGAGCTCGTGAGCACGCCGGGTCTTGGCTGGGCAGCCTGACGGTGACCTCCCCACAGGCAGACAGCCGGGGGTGGGCACAGACCCCCAGACCCCCGGAGGGGTTTATCCCAGTGGGTGTTTGTGAGTAGCAGGAGGTGCGTGGGGGGGACCGACAGACGTCGCCTGGGATAAAACCGGTAAGGATTGGCCAAGCTCTGCCCCACGTGCCCGTCTCTCCTACCTGTGGGGAATAATGTGGCAACAGGTTGTGGAGGTCCCCTCGCCCCCCCCGCCTGGCCCCTCACCATTCCTCCTTGAGAAGTGGCAGCAGATTAGCCCAGAGCCCCTCCGCGCAGACAAAAGCTGCCACAAAGGGCATTAGGCTTCGGGATTGGATTACCGTGTGGCCACCTGTCATCCCCACTTTGTAAATTTATCTCGCTCTGGGTCCCGTTTTCACATTGCAGAAGTTTGTACTTAAAAATACAAAACCCTGCCCCCCCCCGAGCTCGCTCCAGGCAGCAGCCTGGCTGAGTTCGCTGTAGCATCCCTGCTTATTGCAGGCTTCAGAGCTGTGTGGGGCTGGGGATTAGGGCTGTTTGAATAAAGAGAGCCTTTATTACATTAGTCTAAGTGGTTAATAGGTAAAGTAGGCCAATCCATCTTTAGACTAAGCCTATCACTTCGCCTACGAAGGGTGCAGGCTTCACGAAGGAAATATTCATTAAAGGAAAAGCTTTTCCTCTGTCCCTCTTGACATGTTAATAGCTCGGGGTTAGGGGCTCTGCTCTCTGCCTGCAGAAAATTCATAGCTCTACTCCCCCAGCAATTCCTTCCTCTCACAGGACACCCCCCCACCCCATCACTGCCGCCGGCAGCTCTGCCAAAGTCAGCAGAGCAGCACCGAGCTGCCCCTCAGCATTTTGCTGGCCAGCAGTCAGGGATGCCGGGAGCTGCTGGTGCTCCTCGTCCCAGCTTCCCTTTCCCATGCTCAGAAAGCAGGTTCCTCGTCCCTTCCCGAGCAGGGCTGTAAAGGAGAGGGTTCGAATGTGTGCTGCAGCGCTGGGACTCTCCACTGTGGGATGTTCTCAAGGCCAAAAATATTCATGGGTTGCAAAGGATTAGGCAGTTGATAGATGCTGTGGAATGGGATGATTTGGATGCAGATGCTGGCTCCAGAGGTCTTTGAACTCCAGGTTGCCGGAAGGCAGGAGGATAACAAGGCAGGAGGGACTGCTTGCCAAGCTTTTCATACTATCTTTATTTTCATAGAATCGTTTAGGTTGGAAAAGACCTTTAAGATCATCGAGTTCAACTGTTAACCTCACAGTTTTCCACTACGCTATCTACTACAGCCCTCAGTGGTGTCTCCATCCAGCCCTGTTCTGGCTGGTGCAGCAGCTCTTGTCCGAGGGCTCATCTGAGCTCCCCGTTCTCCTTTACCACCTCCCTTTTGTCTCTCATACAGAAAACAGCAGTACCTGCCCCTCCGCCGTTCTTATCTTGCACCCAACAGCGCTGGCAGGAACTGCCCGGGTCTCTAACATGCCTGTTTCTTGGGGACTTTTCCAACTGAGTGAGTTTAGAACAGCCAGCTGACCCGTTCTCCCTGTCCCAGAGGCTCTGTTGTCTCTGGCTGCCAGGAGGACAGTCGATGCTTCTGTGGGAGATTATGGAAAGCAATGGCAAAGCTCATCACAGTGGATAGACCCATGCGATGAAACTGCTTTCCTACATGTGATGCTCACAGGTTCAAACCACATCCATGGGCCACAATATTTGGCTTCACTTGTGCCTGGGTAGCTTTTATGGAGCCGTTTTTCAAACAAGGCAGTGTCTGAGACAATCTCACGGATCTTAGTTTTGGGCTACGCGCAGCACGACGAGGGAAGAGAGTGCTGGAGCTAGGGCTGAAGGCTGGTTTTGTGAATTCAGTTCTTGTTGAAGGCTCCATTTCTATTTCTGCTCTTCTTAGCTTGTGTTGACCAAGCCAGACAGCAGTGGTGTCAATGATGTGCTTTGTCTTGCTTTTCCTGCTGTGACGGGTCACCAGTGAGAAGTTCTGCAAATGCCAAGGATTCAGGTCGTCCCCAAAAATAACAATTTTGAGGGGTGTATCCCTGCACAGAACTGAGTGCTCTCAGCTCTTTTGGAATGTTGGATGTCGTCAGCCACAAATCAAGTTCAAGTGCTGACTGGTCTCTAAAGAGGCTGACGCTGGGCTGGTGGATGCCTCTTAGAGGAAGAGTAGCTCCTTGCTGTCTTCTGCTTCGGCGGTGCGCTCCTCCGTGTTTGTTGAAACACTAATTAAGAGCTAACATTTCCCAACCAGATCAACTGACTCAGATCAACACCACCCCCGGCAATATCCTCCCATTTCATGGCCCTACCCAATGCCTCTCTTGTGCAAGGAGGTAAAAAATAAGTCTTGTGTCATTCCCAGGAGACTGATAAATACTGACTGTAGTAATCCTGGAGGAGAAGTCAGTCTTGAGGTGCAGGCCCCATACAGCAACTGTTCTGATGGACCTGACCTGAAGACAAAGGGCTTCAGTGTAGCTCCTGAGCATGTCTTGGGTCACAGTCTCCTCTCCAGGCAGGTCCCAGGTCATTGAGGACTTCATGGGTTAAAACCAGCCTCTTAAATCAAGCTGGAAGGCAGTTGGTGGCCAGTGCAGAGCATAGAACTTGGATTTAACATGGCTGTAAAAAGAGACACCACTTCATGAGTAGTCTGTCAAAATCCACATCAGCCCACAATGGATTTAGGAGTTGCTCTGTGAGTGTTATGGACTGGCTCCGTTTCTGCGACGGCATCATCGGTTTATGGAGTTGGCCAGAAAGGTGAAGGATTAGTCAGAGTTTTATTTTGGTTACAGTTCTTTGGCACACGCTGCCTCCTGACTTCCAGGAGCTCTCGCATCCCGAGTGTCTGGTAGACCAGCGTGATTTTTATCTGCTTCTACTTGCGTGGCCTTGAAATCTCAGCCCTAGGGTTTGCCGCCACCGCCCTTGTGCGTGGCTGGAGGTTTCCACAAGTTGCCAGTGACCTCCTGCCTCCTCCGCCATCCGGCTTGTGGTGTGGGCACCATCTCCCACCACAGGTGTGTGGGGAAGGGGCTTTCTGGGCAGCCCCTGAGCACACCTCACCTGCAGTGCTGGGTTGTTGGGTGTCCCTGGCCAGTAAACACGTGGCATCGAGTTAATGCCAGGAGCGGGTGCAGTAAAACACCAGGTGAGCTAAATAGTAGGTGCCTAAGTTGCACCCGACCAACTTTTGTAGGCACCTGATGATTTTTCATCCAGTCGGACCTCTCATTCCTGGTTTTCCTATTGTTTGGCCTCAGAACACGAGTTGTTTTTTTTTCCCTTGGCTTCTTGATCATTGGCTTTAGCAGAAACTATCGGTGCCTTTTTTTTAATTGCAGGAGCCTGTGGTGATCTTTGCTGTAGAAGCATAAAACCAGTAGGGGAGGAGACGGCCGTTGGGGAACAAGCAGCCTCTGTGAGCCGTGTCGTACGGCTGAGGGGAATGCTGTTTGAGGCTTGCAGATCACACACGAGCTGGAGATTTCTCTGTGCTGGGTGGATGCTTTGCAAATTTAATCAAGTTTTATAGCTTTAAATCTGTGGCTGACTCCCCTCTTCCCTTTTTTATTTTTTTTTTAACTGTCTCACACTCCAGAGCGAATGAGTCCCATTTGATTATAAAGGGAAAGAATTGGCAAATGGTCTAAAATATTGGGGCTTGTCTAGTGAATGAGAGGAAAAAAAATTACTCTTGCTGCTTTGTGCCGCTGCCATCATTTCTGCAAGCTCTCTGGTTTTGCCCTACATGGTTAGTTGGACATAACCCTCACAAAATACCCTGGAAACCTAAAGCCTTCAGCAATTCCACCTCATTCCCTGGCTATTTCTTACCCGTGAGCTGAGGTTGTGTTCTCCAAGGTTTTGTCCTGACCTGCTGTAGCCTGTGCAGCAGTGCAGGGGAGAGGTTGCCCTCGTTGGGTGCTGGCCTGGGATGTGCTGAAGAGGCCACCAGCAGCTTGTGGTGCTTCTTCTCATTTGTGTTAGGGAACAAGCCTGCACAGCGATAAGGGATAGTAAGTCAAGGGGTGAAGCTGGGCGCAAGAGGACGCCTGCAGTTGGGTGAGGTCCTGCTGGGCTGGGGTGGATGGCTCTCTGGGGTTGGCCTGAGCCAGGAAAGCTGCCCAGCACAGCTTGGGACTCATCCTGACTGGTCTGGACCCGGTGTGGTACATGTAGCCACACCCCAGGTACAGAGCGTAGCCCAGTTAATCCACTCATGGATAACTGGGAGATTACTCAGCTGGATTTCTAATACAGTGGCCTTTAATAATAATCCCTCCCTAATCCTTAAATCAATGGAAAATGGACTTATCTGTACGAGCTACATGGCCTGTGTAGGCATTTTAGGAAGAAGAATTCTTGTATATCTGTGTGTGGATATGTATGTGTGTGTGTGTATATATATAAAAATATAAATATATGCGTAATGCGTATTTTTCTTCCTGTCACTTGCCCTTCTGACCCATGTCTGTGTTTTGCTGGCAGGGACCTCATGCCCAGGACCCTGGAGGGGCAGATCACCATGGAGAAGACCCCCAGCTACTTCGTCACCAAGGAGGCGCCAGCCCGCATCTCCTCCATGTCCAAGGGCACGAAGCTCATCGTGGTGGTGCGGGACCCCGTGACCAGAGCCATCTCGGACTACACCCAGACGCTCTCCAAGAAGCCCGATATCCCCACCTTTGAGAGCCTGACCTTCAAAAACAGGACTACGGGCCTGATCGACACCTCGTGGAGCGCCATCCAGATCGGCATCTACGCCAAGCACCTGGAGAACTGGCTCCTCCACTTCCCCATCGGGCAGATCCTCTTCGTCAGCGGCGAGAGGCTGATCAGCGACCCCGCGGGGGAGCTGGGCAGGGTCCAGGACTTTCTGGGCCTCAAGAGGATCATCACCGACAAACACTTCTACTTCAACAAAACCAAGGGCTTCCCGTGCCTGAAGAAGGCGGAAGGCAGCAGCAAACCCCACTGCCTGGGCAAGACGAAAGGCAGGACCCACCCCGACATCGACCAGGAGGTGGTGCAGAGACTGCGGGACTTCTACCGGCCCTTCAACATGAAGTTCTACCAGATGACGGGGCAGGACTTCGGCTGGGACTGAGGCTGCCATGGGAAAGTCCCCTGTAATTTACTGGCCCAGCACGGTTTGCGTATATAAAGAGATATATATGTATGTAAAATGTACAGAAATCTATTTTATAATAATTTATTTTTAATTCCTAAGCAATTAATTCACTAAGCTGCCTAACCGCACTGGCTAGAATGGTAG